TCATATTTAAAATACATTATTTCTTCAATAATATTCATTAAATACCCATATGTATAAAAATTTGAAAAAATTGCAGCAACGATCCTCAACTTTTCTATTTTTTGCAAATTTTACTCTAATCTTTAATTTATGTCAGTGAAAATCCCAAACCCTTGAGAAATTAATAGTAGAAGGTTAGTTGGCCAGAAAAATTAATTTTATCCAAATATAAGAAGAGCAAAATAGTAACTATACATTTTTAATATAAAATAATTATAAAAAAAATGAAAAAAGAAATCCACCCCACCCAACCCCTAAAACAAAAAATTCGCCCTCCTACCCCCCGGGGCACATTCGAGTTGGTAAAGGACGAACATTGCTGGGCTTGCAAACTCAGGGTGGGGAGTTCGATTCCTGGATGAAGCAGCTGAGTGTTATAATACTCAATTTGGGTGGAGCAGTTTGGTGATGTAATATCTATGGAAGAAGACTCCATTTGGGCCAGAGTATAAAGGGTGCATGGACCCTGATCAACTTGGGCATATCCCTCGGTTAACCTCTACCCATCACTGAGTGGCCGGGGATAGGTGGTCCAGGAAATAGTCTGGTGTAAGTTGGGATACCTGGATATCAAAAAAAAAAAAAAAATTCACCCTCCTCCTTTCCCACTCTCACCCACCCCAGTGGTTGGCACCATCGGCCAAAGGCCGGCTGTCACTATCGCTCAAAAGCGGACACTGTCAAAAAAGATATAAGATGCACAAACTACAAAGAGGTAGGAAGATGCAAATAAAGGACAAAAAAAATCAGAAAATTTGAGAAAACAAAAAGAAGATAAATGAGAAGATGAAAAAGAAGACCCGAACACGAAACTGTTGTCCTCAAACTATATTTGCCCCCTCTCGGATTGAAAATGATGCTTAAAGGGATTATAACAAATGGTTTGCAGGGTTAATCAAGCCTTATAAATGATTTAACACTTAAACACTAGTAAAAATCCTCCAAAACTTGAAGAACTCAAAATGAATTTTTTTTTTTGTGAAAATGTATGAAGAAATTTTTTATTTCCATGACGTGTTGAATAAAAATGTTTTCAAAAATGACATTCATTATTTTGCCTCTGAACATTGATTACTTATATATAGGCCTCAATAATCTTCTACGAAATGGTGCCAAAATCAGATGAAAAGTCACCAAAATTTAAATAGCAACAACCATAGAACGACTATTTTCTTCCTCTATGCGGTCGCGTATGCCAAACCTATGCAACCGCATAGTTAATGCAATCACGGGGCTTTTAGTCCCCGTATATGGCTATGCGACCACATGCCATAGTGGCCAATGCGGTCACATAGTTTATCCTTTTGGCCTCAGGTTCCATTTTTTATTCCACGACCAATTTTATTAACTTTTGAACGATATTTTCAATAGACATGGTCACCTAAATCAGAAATACCACAACCAAATTAGTCCCTTAAACATCGGCCAACCTCAATTGGAGCATCGATTGGAACTGTTGACCCCAAAAAATGTTGCCAACAGATACCGAGCCCATTCGTGCACGTGTAAGCCTTGTCCAACACGTGTGTGCCGATGAACGATCAAGAAGGCTCCAAATCTGGACGTAGGAGGAGCTCACTACACGAGACGTCAACGTTCGGGTCTCCGGCAAGATATATAGAACACGATTGTATAAGGATCCAATTGGTGAAGAACGATTTGTAGTAAAAAATATGTTGTAAGAATCACTACTGAAACGAGAGAAAATGTTGCTCCAAGTACTCTGTACTCTTTTATATTTGGTATGAGAAATTTCATTACCCTTTTTGCGTTACATGTTGATGTATTTATAGTGTTACAAGTCGAATAATGACATTTGGATCAATTTACACGTGGCCTCATCTCCTCGGCCAAGACATCAAATCCTAGCCACCAAGTTGACTTTTCTAGCCTTACAGAGCATTAAATGGTCTTACATTGACTAGACAAGACAGAGTTTACTTTATACAAAAGTCGCGTCAATCATTCACACGGATCTTTCACCATTGCAATATCTTTCCACGTGGTCTTCTCCCACGCGACACTTGGGCCTGGGATGATAGTGAAGCCACAGGAACTGTCTTGAGGGCCTCGGAGCAATAGCTAGGGCCTCAGGGCAATAGCCGAGCCTCGAAATCCACGTCGGAGGCTAAGAGAACATATCCTGGTCTAAGTAAACTGGTCCCACCACTGAAATATGGTGCCGCGTGTCGCTTCTATATAATGACTCGTAACAATAGTCCCCCAAATCCATGTGTAGTCATTTATGTCAGGCGTGGACTTTCAGTAAGTCAGAGAAAAAAAGTTTTAATTTTCCATACTTCACATGAACAATTAAATGATTACTCATGGTCGTACAAGTCTGCTGGAGGTTCGCCAAGCTCCAATTTGGTTCAGGTCTCACGAGAAGGGTGGTCCCATCAGAGGGTGTGGGCTTTGCGAGAAGTCACCACCCATAAATGGCTGCTGTTGGTGTTGCTGAAATTGTTGTGGATGCGGGTGGTAAAGCAAAAGTAGTAATGGTAGGCCATTGACGGTTATTGTGCATAGATTGTGCTCAAGTAAGTTTTCCAGCGCAATGGAGAATGAGTTTTCCAGCAACAAAGGGATCAGAATTAAGGCCAACCTTTTTGTAGCATATGCGTGGATTTGTTTGAGAGACTTTAAATTCTTGCAGTTATTCAAGAGTGAGATGCAAAATTGTTCTGCCCAGTTCATTTTCTTGTGCTTCTGCTTAGAGCTGGTGTGCCATTTTTCTTTCTGTTTTAGATTTCGAATGGTTGAGGTGAAGATCGCCTTTTATAGCTACAAAGCTCCTCTTGAGATGGTTGGGGGATGGGATGGGGTGGGGTGGGGTGGGGTGGCAGTGATGGTGGTTTGCGGAGGTGGCGGTGGGTGGGTGTAGTAGTGGTGCTGGCGATCGTCGGCTATTGAAGACGGTGACTCTGATTTTGGTTTTGGTTTGTGTTTTGAGTTTGGATTTGGGAGAATATGAATATGGGGTGGGTGGCATGGTGGGTTTTGGGGTAGGTTTATTTTTTCCTTTTTATTAATTATTTTATGTTAAATTTATATAGTTAACATTTTGCCCTTCTTATATATTTGGAAAAAATTAATTTTTTGGTCGACTAAGAGCATCTTCAGAGACTCTTTATTTTCAAAGAGTATATTCTATCATTTAGAGATTATCTATGAATTTAGAGAGTTAAAATTTTGAAGTACTTCAACAATCTCTTTATATTTAATACTTAATTTTACCATTCCCCAAAAATATTTATTATTTTTCTTTATCTTTTATTTTAACTAACTTTTATTTATATTATTTTATTATTTTACTACATTGAAAATTGAAATACTTTAAATACATTTAATTATATACATATCTAAATTAAAATGTTAATTTAAAGAGTCTCTTGGAGTATGCTTTTAAATATCGACTCTTTAAAATGGAGAGTATCTCATATTTGAAGAGTTACTCAGAGATGCTCTAACGGTTATATTTTCATCCATTTGGACATCCGCTACTAATTTCTCAAAGGTTTAGGACTATCGTTGGCACAAATTGAAAGTTATGATAAAGTTTACA